AAATTAAAGTATTTTAACTTTTTTAGTTTAAATTTTGATTGTTTCTTGGTTTTGTTTTATTCTCCAAATAAGATTATAGTTTAGACTATCCTAAAAAATAAAAGTTATAAATTATAAGAAATCATAAGTTGTAAATTGAAAGAAATTATAAGTTACAAGTTATACGAAATTATAGCAGGAGATATGTATTTACGTCTTTTTTATGAACTTAAAGATCCTAAAGCATCAACAGTTGAATGTAAAGCCTCCAATGTTGAAACTAAAGTATCTTTACAAAAAAAGAATAACTAAAGACTGAAGAACTTTACCATTTCTTGCTCAAAACTCTAACTTGATAAAAAGCAAGACTTTAATATTTTGGATTAGATCAAAAAGAAATGAATTTGAAAGATCAAATGACCCTCCAAAAATGCTTAAAAAATTGCACTGTACTTTAAAGTTTTTATCAGCAACATCAATTGTTACAGAAATATGCTTTAGCGCTCTAGACTTATTCTTTTTATAACAAATTTGAGAACATTTTTGAGTGATACTGATTACTAAGTATTACTGCAATCAGTAATACTTAGTGATACTAAGTATTACTGATAGCAAAAAGAGTTTCAACAATATCTTTATAATTCAGTGTAAAAATATTTTTTGGCATCAAAGCATAGATTTGAAGACATTGTCAATTTTCATTAGAAAAACGTGTATTTATGTCCAATATCAACGCATCAAGTAGAAGGATGTAAATTGATTGCCTTTATATTCTTTCACTGTATCTGAAGGTATATTTTCAAAAAGACACCTTCCTGCTTCAGCAGCTTAAACATGTTTGACTAATTTTAGTGGTTGCAGAGTGAGGTTGAGGTTCACTTAAAATCAGTTCATTTTCTGAAACAGGCATAATTGTGTCAAGTGAGATATCATTCCTTTTCTGTCTTTCTCCGTATATGTCTGGTTTTTCATGTTCAACATGTTGAATAGTAATACTAATACTAATTTCAGGTGGTGGTGCTGATGCGTTTTAAGTTCATTCGTCCTTTTAGTATCCTTAATAGTAGCAGTGAAACTAGTTAAAGGTATTTCAACAAAATTTTCTTTGTTCAATGCTAAAAATAATGAATCTAAACTACTCTGCAATCGTTAAGGATTAGTTCTCTTCATTGCGTCTCGAAAAATTTTTTTGTTTTGTTTGTGTAAACTGATATTAAACTAATATTACAAAATTATTTAAAACTGATTTTGAAAGTAATTTTTTTTACTATTTAGTTTAAGTGTCGTTTAAGTCAATAACATTTGATCAAAAGCTCATTCAATGTACTCAAATTAATTGCTGTTACTTGCTGAATAAAAAGCCCTCTGCTTTCTATGAAAACAACTATTACATTAATTTAACAGGTTTGTATTAGGTAAATTATTCTTTGAAAATTATAAAAAAAATAAGGTTAACTGAGATAATTGTGGAGAAAATTATTTAAAAGATTTTAAATTCCTTTTCAATTTTAAACTTTCAACGTACTATTTCAATTAAGTTGTGTCGCGCAAATTTTAAACAGGACTACTGAGATACCAATATATGACGTCATTTCATAGTTACACTCGTTAAAGTAAAAAATCATTTTTATATTTGTAACCTTTTATAAAAAAAATCATACTTGATCTGTTGATTATTTTAACAACTTTTAATATTGCCAATTCTAATTTACGTTTTACCGACTTTGTAAAACGGTTAATCACGTTTTCAACATTTACTGGAATTTCTCTGTACAAATTAAGTAAGGCCAATCCGATTAGTCTGTTTTCTGTCATTCGTGTTCTCAGCCAATTTTTAATTTTTTGCAAGGTTGAGAAGCTACGTTTAGCACTGGCGACACTAACAGGGCAGACAAAAAAGAGTATTCAAACGAAAATTATATAAAAAAGATTTTTGGGGTTGCTAAAAAAATGCAACCTCTCCCCTACCCCCTCTAACTTGATGGTCCGGAAACTTTTCCTGTTGAGGCCTTGCACGCAAAAACTATTAAATTTTTTATACGTGTATTTAATATTTTAAAAACTAATAAAAAAATGCCATAGCATTTTTAATAAACTTGTGTAGTATAAGTGTTTGAAGTCACATTAGAGGTGGTTTCAAACACTTACTATTGTGAGGAGTGACTTTGGACATGTATAATACATACTATTGTTAGGGTTGATTTTGGGCGTGTATAAGGGAGATAAATCATGTACTTAAAAAAAAACTTTTTGTCCTTTGTACGAACCGGCGATTCAAGCACTACATCGGTATAGGCAACGAATGTAGATTCTTCATTAGTTATGGTCTATTTATGCTTATTTATGGTCTGATTGTTTTCCACATCCATAGACATTTACAGTTATAAATCTTTTATCATATCAAAAAAACCAGTATATCTGTCGTTGAACTCATCGTTATCAAAGTTATATGGCTCTCATTAGTAAATTTGTAGGTATATCTGTAGGTATTAATTCCTTTTTAAATGTTTTTCCGTCTAGAATCTGTTTTTATATATATATATTTCTTTTCTTTTCTTTTTTTTTTTCTGTAAACTATATCTAAATACATTTTTTATAAATTTTATAACAACAATATATAAGTATATAATCAAAATAATTTTTCAATAAGAAATTTATAATGCAATATTGTACTTATTTTTTTTTAAATAATTAGATCTCTGATAATACCTAAAGAAGGATTTAGTTTTATTTGGTAACTCCGTAAACAAATATTTTCGTAGATTTTTACAATTTGCGCAATATGACTTTTACCTTAGGTTTAATTGTATCTTAGCTTAGATTTAATTGTATCAAGTGTTGTATATTTTTTGTGTACGTGTTTTTTATTATTATTATTATTTTTTTATAGAGCTTATTTTTCAAGAATAGAGAATATGTAATTTTGTTTGACTTTTAAACAATGATAGTTCATTTAATTTTATCAAATTAATTTTAAAGTTTTATTTTTTATATTTTATATTTACTTATATCTAATTTTATCGAATTAATTATATAGTTTTTTTAATTTAATCAATACTATTAATACTATTATTTTTTTTATTAATATTATTGTAATTATTATCTTGATTGTTATTACAAACAACAAGAGTTTTTATTATTATTGTTTGTTATTATTACTGCTACTATTATTATTATGATATTATTAATTATATTGTTATTGTATATTATTATAACTTACTTATATTTTATTGCAACATCTTAATTAGGTAATAATAATAATCATATAAGTTAAAATAAATATATATAAATAAATTTAATAAATATATTTAGTTTTAGATATATCAAATTTCTTATTTAATTATCATTACATAAAATTTTCTGTTTAAGTATTGTACTGTTTTTTGTTTTTTAGTTTTTCAGTACGGTGTTTTCAGTTTCTTATTATGGTGTTTACCTAAAATTAGTACTTGTACTATATAAAAATATTCTTTAAAATGTAAAATCAGAATACATTTAATTTGATTTAAATCTTTTAAATTTTGATTTTTTTAAGTTTAATCCACTAATCGGGGTCTTGTGACAATTTAAATTTTTGAATATCAGCTTTTAGTTTTTTTTTTTTTTTTTGCAAGCTTTTTGTCATTATATTTTATTTTTTTTTGCACCTGCAAGTGTCGTTTTTGTCGTTTTACCTGTCGTTTTTTTCAGAGTATCTGTGGCTGTTATAGATCTACCTTTTGTTAAGGATTGTGCAAATAGAAATTAACACAATTTATGTAAATATCCATACCCAGCAAACATTGTCTCAGTGGATTTGCAGTGGACCTATAGGCATTTTGAGTGGTTTGTCGGAGTTTTTCTCATTGGTTACTAGTTGACCATTAGTGGCAGCCGCTTTTCGACATGTTAAAATGGCTATTCATTGGCTAGCCACTTGCGGCGGCTGCCACTAATAATAGGTAAGGAATTTTTATGCAACAATCATTATAGCAGTATTGGAGGAGACTTTGGACAGTGCCTAGAGTGTGTTGAAATAAATTTACTAATTTATAGATTCTAAATGTTTACATTCCCAAAATTCTGTTTGTTCTAAAAAGAGTTGGACCAACTCTAGCAGAACTCATAAATAGAATCTAAACGATTCACTTTGAATCGAAAATTTTACATTAACAAAACAAAAATACTTTTCATTCTAAATTTTTTTTATTTTAATGAAGGAAACTGTTACGTAAGTGTTTTAGAGCTAAGAACGTATGTCTTAAAGCTAAGAACGTATGTCTTAAAGCTAAGAACGTATGTCTTAAAGCTAAGAACGTATGTCTTAAAGCTAAGAACGTATGTCTTAAAGCTAAGAACGTATGTCTTAAAGCTAAGAACGTATGTCTTAAAGCTAAGAACGTATGTCTTAAAGCTAAGAACGTATGTCTTAAAGCTAAGAACGTATGTCTTAAAGCTAAGAACGTATGTCTTAAAGCTAAAAACGTATGTCTTAAAGCTAAGAACGTATGTCTTTAAGCTAAGAACGTATGTCTTAAAGCTAAGAACGTATGTCTTAAAGCTAAGAACGTATGTCTTAAAGCTAAGAACGTATGTCTTAAAGCTAAGAACGTATGTCTTAAAGCTAAGAACGTCGTAAAGCTATGAGCGTATGTCTTGAAACTAAGAGCGTCTACCAACATATCAATCATTGACAACATGTTCTAATATTAAGAAAGTAGAGATTTCTAAATGTCCATGTCCGAAGTTTCCGTGGTATTTTCTTAGAGAAAGTGTATAACTTTTGTAATTTGTGTAATGTTTTAGTTTTTTTTATAATTTATAACATCTGATTTTTGTTAACTTGCATGATCCTCAGAATTGTGCTTTAAATAAATTCTTGATAGAAAACATTTATTTGTAACTAAAAAAAAACATTTTATTGCTAAGTGATTAATATAACGA